GTCCTCTCTGGGCAGCCAGGTCTGCCTGTGTCGCCCAGTTTCTCTGGCCAGGCTGTGGTCACTGAGCCTGTCCTCTCTGGGCAGCCAGGTCAGCCTGTGTCCCCAGTTTCTCTGGCCAGGCTGTGGTCACTGAGCCTGTCCTCTCTGGTCAGCCTGTGTCCCCAGTTTCTCTGGCCAGGCTGTGGTCACTGAGCCTGTCCTCTCTGGGCAGCCAGGTCAGCCTGTGTCGCCCAGTTTCTATGGCCCGATCGTGGTCACTGCTCTCTCTCTGGGTGCTGCGCAGTACAGTCACCATCTCTCTCTCCCTGCAGGAGGACGAGCTGGTGTCGTCGGAGAACTCGGCCTCCATCTTCAACACGCTGTCGGACCTGCCCTGCCAGCTCACAGACGGGCAGCAGGTGCTGGAGGAGGCGGTGCGCCTGGCGGGGGCGCTCTCCCCCGACCAGCTGGAGGCGCAGAGGCGCAAGCACCTGGCCTACATCCTGGCGGAGCAGGCCGAGCTCAACACCGCCCACACCCTCGGCACTGGCCTGGGCAAGGTCAGGGGTCAGGGGTCAGGGGTCGGGGGAGAGGGAGGGGGGGGGAGGTCAAGGGCTCAATGCCTGGGCTCTGGTCATCCGTCAACAGGCAGGTCCAGCCACGGAGACGCGCCGTGCGCCCCAGATGACCGATTCCTCGGGAGACCTCCACCGCCTCCCGTGTCCGCGGTGCATTGTGGGTGACGAGCCCGTCTGTGCTGACGTGAGCTCCTGTCCCCCCCGCGCGCAGGTGGTGCGCAGGCAGAGCCAGCGCAGGAAGTCGGCCCTCACCTCGCTGCTGTTCGGGGACGACGAGGCCGAGGCCCTGAAGGCCAAGAACATCCGGCAGACGGAGCTGGTGGCCACGCTGAGGGAGGCCATCGGCCGGCTGGCCACGCACTTCCACTGCCTGGACCCCCGGCACAGCAGCACGGTCAGTCTGGCGCCCCCCTGCGGAGAGAGCCCGGCCTTCCGGGGCCAGCGCGGTGCGCTCATCCGCCCCTCTCCCCCCCCACAGGACCTGACCCCGGACTACTCGATGGAGAGCCACCAGCGGGACCACGAGAACTTCGTGCTGGTGTCGCGTTGCCGGCGGCGCCGGGCGCGGGCCCTGCTGGACTTCGAGCGCCACGACGACGACGAGCTGGGCTTCCGCAAGAACGACATCATCACGGTGAGCCGGGGCGGGACGCGAGGTCATCTCTGGGAGACGCTGCGGTGATGGGCCCTCTCTGGAGTGGTTCCATGGTGTAGAGGTTCCATGGTTGTTTCATCGATCACTCGCTGTCGGTTTTAATTGATCGCCGCATCTCATCCAGGCTTTGCCTGAAGGAGCCCCAAGAAT